AAGTCATAATGAAAATGATCATAATTTAAAAGTACTAAATCATGCTAAAATAAGTTTAATAAGTATTAGTTACATTACTAAATATTTAAGGAAAATTAAAATTAGATTATGTATTTTAATTGTCTAAACCAATGTAAAACTAAAGAACAAATATTCAATATTATTGTCATTCTTAGTGTTGAATTGTTTTTTTTTTTTTGCATTAGTATTAATTTGATTTTGATTTAAGTTTTATTATAATTATCAACATCTATGAACTATAATATTTATTGGACCATTCCGAATTCTAAGTTTTAAACTTGAAATAATATATTAAAAGATAAAAACTATGAAATAGCATAAGAAATATTTTAAAATTATATCAATGTAAATATTTTTATGTATAAAGTAAAATTTTAAAATTACATATATAATGTCGGGTTGGTTTCTTTTAGTTAAAACCAAACCAACCCAAATATAGTCGGATTTTTTTTCCAATACCGAACCAAGTCAAACCAAACCACTAGTCGGGTTTTTTTATTCGATTTGACTCGATTTGCAGTTTGATTTGATTTTCGGTTCGATTTTGTACACCCTAGTCATGGACATATGCCACATGAATCAACCAACTTTTCAAGTAGTGCTACCATGGTCCATAATGATGGTAGCTCTGGTAGTGGGATGCAACAATCATTCCACACGTCGTCCATGGCGTCCATGGGACATCATGATCATGGTCATGGTTATGGGGGGAGCCACCCTAGTAATTATAGTCAGAGCCAGAAGTTCAACTGGGCTCTCAAGATCATATATGGATTGTGATTAAACCAAAGATATATTTGATAATGATCATATAGTATGTGTGTTTTGGTAGGCCTTTTGGCTTTATATAGCACGAAGGGTCTCTTACTTAAATAAGTAATGTGTACTCTCTCTGTTCCTATTTACATGTCGTCCTTATTAAAAATAGATGTTTTTAAATATTTGTCATTTCACAAAATCAATGCATAAATGACACTATTCTTCTTATTTTACCCCTTAAAGTTATTAGTCTTGAAAGTATATATTTAACCAACATAGAAAAACTAAGTAATTCACGTTCATTGGTCAAATTAATTAATCAAAATATATTAATTCATATCCATTTATTGAAAACTTGACTTCAAGAGAACACTAATTAATAAGACTACAATGATAAACATATCTAGTTTCTTAAAGAGTGTGAAACCTAAAATGATGACAACTAGATAGAAACGGAGGGAGTACTAAACAATCTTCTTATAATAAGTGTTATATGGTTATGGTTAAGACAACTAATATAAGGCTTTATCCCAAAACCCAATCTCTGTGGTTGCTTCTTCGTCTTCATTCTTTTTCGTGTTGTTGTTCTCCAATTCAACCTTTTTAAAAAAAATAAAAAATAGAAAATTGATGTACCAAAAATGTGATTATTTTGAGCAAATTATATATCAAAAGACTCAAAACAGCGAGAGGATTTCATATCTAAATTTTGGGACTGTTTAGAGTGATTTTGAGTTGATCGAGATTGAATTCGTCAGTGTATACTTTATGTATAGTCAAAGTTAGGGGTGTACAAAACCGAACCGAAAACCGAGAAAAAAACCAGACTAGTGGTTGGTTTGACTTGGTTTGGTATTGAAAAAAAAAACCGACTATATTTGGGTTGGTTTGATTTTAACTAAAAAAAACCAACCCGACATTATATATATAATTTTAAAATTTTATTTTATACATAAAAATATTTACTTTTGATATATTTTTTTAAATATTTCTTATACTTTTTCATAGTTTTATCTTTTAATATATTATTATTTCAAGTTTGAAACTTACAATTATGAATAGTTCAATAAAGATTATAGTTCACAGATGTTGGTAATTATAATAAAGTCAAAATCAAATTAATACTAAAGCAAAAAAAATAAAAAAATCAACACTAAGAATGACAATAATATTGAATATTTGTTCTATGGTTTTACATTGGTTTATTCAAATGTATAATCTAATTTTAATTTCCTTTAATATTTAGTCGTGTAACTAATACTTATTAAACTTATTTTAGCATGATTTAGTACTTTTAAATTATGATCATTTTCATTATGACTTGTTAATTTGCAATATTTGTTTTACGCGATTTCATTATTATTATTATTTTTTTATTGGATATTTTAGCATCATTACTCATATAATATTTTGTGTTATTTTCTTAAGAAACACCTTAGATAGTTGTATTTTGGTAGGACTAAAGAAATATTTGAAGTACAAGTAAATTATATGTTTGTATGAATACTTTACCGGAAAAATCCGAAAAAATCCGAAAATCCGAAAAATCCAAAAAATTCGAAAAAACCCGAAGTTGAAAAACCCGAGTTTTATTGGTTTGGTTTGGTTTATAGATTTAAAAATTCGACACAAATGGTTTGATTTGATATTTGAAAAACTCGAACCAACCCGTCCATGTACACCCCTAGTCAAAGTATATTTCATGTATAGTTAAGCTATAT